CTGCCATTTCTTGTGTGCTCTTTAATTCTGAAGAGTAGCAGAACTCAGGCTGCTGGTAAAACCTCTCTGAAACATTTTGTTCTTGAGCCACCACTGTCCCTTCTGTGAAGTGATAAATGCAAAGCTCAGAATGATTTTCCAGTGGTGATAATTTTTCTGCTATCACAGAAGTTGTCCCTTTGCTGAGTGCTGGCACTGTAAACACAGCGAGCTCTTAAGCCAACAAAGCTGTTCCGATGACGTGAAATACAAATGCCTTTATTTTTTCCTTTTCCAAAGAGTCTCCAAACAGCTTTCACCTTCCCCACCTCCCCATGAATGCAGCTTTTGTTGCTGCAGGTGACCCAGGGCAATGGGTGACTTCAGCAGCAACAGCAGGGCTTGGAAATCAAAAAGAGCTGTAAGATCATTGAGTCCAGCAGTCAGCCCAGCCACTATGGTCACCACTAAACCAGGTCCCCAGGTGCCACATGCGCATGGTTTTTGAACACCTGCAGGGACAAGGACTCCATCAGTGCCCTGGCAGCCTCTGCCAATGTCTGACAACCTTTTCTGTGAAGAAATGTTCCCAATAGCCAATCTAAACCTCCCCTGGCCCAGCCTGAGGTCGTTCCCTCTCCTCCTGTCCCTGTTCCCTGGAGCAGAGCCCAGCCTCCCCAGCTGTCCCCTCCTGTCAGGAGTTGTGCAGAGCCACAAGGTCCCCCCTGAACCTCCTTTTCTCCAGGCTGAGCCCTTTCCCAGCTCCCTCAGTGTGTCCTGGTGCTCCAGACCTTTCCCCAGCTCTGTTTCTTTCCCTGGACACGCTCCAGCCCCTCAGTGTCCTTCTTGTGGCTTCACTATAAGAAATATTCAATGTCTTTTGACCCGTGCTGGTCCCTCTGCAGCTTGGCCAGCAAAGCCTTTTGATTTGAATTCCTAATTGCTGTAAAAGTGAAAGTTTCTAATTTTTGCAGCCTTTTTGTCTGGCAGCAGCAGCTGTTGGATCTGGAAGAAGCAGTTGTCATCCAGTTGTCCAGAGCAGCTGTGACTGCTGCATCCCTGGAGGTGTCCAAGGCTGGATGGGGCTTGGAGCAGCCTGGGACAGTAGAAGATATCCCTGCTCATGGCAGGGGTGGCACTGGATGAGCTTTGAGGTCCCTTCCAACCCAAACCAGTCTGGGATTCTCTCTCCCACATGCATTCAAGTGCTGGACTCCAAAACCTGCAGGTTTGCATGAGCATTACAGCTCACCTGTCACACATTTGGGCTTTTCTGTATTTAAAGCATCTCAGCTATGTGCTGTGGAAGGCCTGGACAGAAAAAAAAAAAAAAAAAAAAAAGACTTTTCTCTGGAATGATTCACTGTAAAATAAGTTTTACCTTCACACAGGTGACCTTGTCCTCCCACTCTTCTTTAATGTCAGCTTTGTTTACTGCCCTTGCCTGTTGCCCAAACTAGAAGGACCAGTGAGGAGTCTGGCTCAGGGAAGCTTTGTAATAATCCAGTTCCACCTTGGAACTGAAGCCTCATGTCCCTCAATCAACATGACAGTAACCAGGAAAAAAAACCATCAGCCTGTTTTTTTAGGTAGAATATTGTTCTGTGTTTCTGTATTTTCTGTGCTGCAATGGCTGATTTAAGCACAGCTCAGCTGGGTGTGTTCTAAAGTAGTTCTGGGTTAAATGTAATGTTCATTAAGGTTCTGCATAGAGATCTCTGTGTCTTTATTAATCTAATAGATATAATTATTAATTATATATTAATAACATTAATGTTAATAACTTATTTTCTGTGATATTGATGGTAGCCTCACTTTTTGTTTCTCAGGATGGTTATTTCATATGTCTGAGGTACACTAATTTATTAAAATAGTTTGTACTTTGAAAAGTGTTTAGTTCACAATCCTTCAAGGAGTTGCCATCTCAAGTCTCATTATCTCCTGATTCCCAAGGGTCAGAGCAGACTCTGCTTTCCATCCCTCCAAAAAGAGTTATTTCCCTGTGAGTGCCTCTCAGTCCTTTTGCTCCCTCAGGAGCTGCAGCCATCTGCTACACCAGAGCAGCAACCCCAGTGCAGCTCATCCTGTACACCCCGAGTGCCCAGGGTAGTGAAGGGAGGAGGAATAAAGGAAAACACGAAGCAGACTCCTTTGAGTGTCAGATCCCAGTGGCAGGAAGATCCTTCCCTTTCCTGCTTCCTGGGAGTGTAGTTTGGCAGCTGAAAAGTTGATTTCAGAGGCAGGTTGAACATCTCTGGTTTGGAGACTTGTGTGTTTATGCCTCGTCATATATGTATGCATATAAATATATATAAAATAGATACAGATACAAATATAATATACAAAGACAAATATATAAACATATTTTTATAGAAATAATATATTAAAAATATAAATGTTATATATAAAAAGATATATTTTTATATATATGTTTTTGTATAAATAAAACCTCTCCTGCCATGTTTCTGCTGCATTGTCTGCAGATGCCTCCTGGCCAGAGGGGATGGTGCTGATGGGCATCCTGGAGCCACTTACACAAGTCTTTCATGGCCAGGCAGCCTTTGATCAGCAGTGCTGGAGAATCCATCAGGCCTCCCTGACACTTCCACTAGAGCTCTTTCCCTGCCCTGTCTCACAGCCTGTGGCATGTCCTGAGGTTATAATGTGTGTTTTCATCATTCCAGTCACAGAAAATGTGCCAGCAGTTTTGTGTAGACGTGAACAGCAGCCACCACGTCTGTGCTGGGGTTGCCCTCTGCTTTCCCTGATCCTGATATATTTAAATAGTTTGGTTTTCTGCATGTACAAGATGGCTTTTGTTTGGTTAGGGTTTGTTGCCTTTTTGTTTTGGCAAGTCTCTAGATCCAGACTCTGTGTTCTCTGTTTGCAGGCCATCTGATATTTAGCTCTACATGAATTATCAGGCTTTCAGCTGTTCCCTTCAAATATTTGTGCTGAATTTTAGGTCTCAATCCAGATTAGAGAGTAGTAGCTGACTCCTGCAGGCTTCAGTGCACTGGTCCTTTCTGCCAGTGTGGAGCTGATGTTTCACACCATGGTCAGAGATGAGCTGTCTGCTCCTTATCACTTCTTAGCCTGATACTGCCCCTAACAATTCTGATAATCTGTACATAGCCTTGCCTTGATGCTGCTGCTGTTTGCATATGGGTTTGTTCATGTTTTTACCTTGTTACCTGCTTTTCTTCAAGGTTTCCAGTCAGGAATTGCTCTGTCCAGTGCCTGCTCCCTCCCTGTGTCCCTGGCTGTGCTGGGTGTCCAAGGGAGGAGCATGCCCTGGGTTTGGAAACACTCTTTGTGTCATCATTACAGCTCTCTGCAGTAGCTGGAGGGGAGCTGGTTTTAGAAATAGCACCTTGTTCCTCTTTCCCCACGTTTCTGGCTCTGAGCAGGGCTCACACAGGCCTGTGGAAGGTGGTGACATCATGCTGCCATTGCCCAGAGTCCCTGTTCAATCAGGAGCTAATTGATTTGGAAAAAAACCTTGCAAACCCAAAGGGATAAAAAGTATTTTCTGAAACTGCTGCCTTTATTTTAACCCAGCCTCTTTCATTCTGCTTCCTTGGGGGCCAGTTCTGCCAACTGCTAGACAGATTATTTTCCTATTGCCAAAGGAAGCTCTGCATTTATGTATCCTCTCTAAAAAATCCCAAACCTACCCCTGCCTCCTCCCCAAAAAACCCCAAACTCCTCAGTCTCACGAGAATGGTAGAAAAGCTCTTTTAACACTGTCTGTTTCTGACTGTTACAAGAAATTCTGTCATCGCTCTTATACCTGAGACGTTTTTGATTTTCTGTTTTCTGTCTCTTTTGCTTTTTGTTTGGTTCTTATGCATATCCATGCTGGAGAGCCAATTTTGTACTGTCCTTGTAGCAGAGAACAAAAAGCTCCTCTGGAATGTCAGCATCCAGAGATTCTGTGATAAAACAAGGATTGAAAACAGTTCAGAGTCAAAAAGCAGCTGTTAATGTTCCTGAAGCTTCTGTCATTGTTAGAGTCCTGGAATGGTGTGGGTTGGGAGAGACTTTAAAAATCATCCAGCCACCCCCCCACCATGACCAGGGACACCTCCCACTGTCCCAGGCTGCTCCCAGCCCTGTCCAGCCTGGCCTTGGGCACTGCCAGGGATCCAGGGTGGGCACCCTGTGCCAGGGCCTGCCCACCCTGCCAGGAACAATTCCTGCCCAATCTCCCATCCAGCCCTGCCCTCTGGCACTGGGAGCCATTCCCTGTGTCCTGTCCCTCCAGGACTTGTCCCCAGTCCCTCTCCAGCTCTCCTGGAGCCCCTTCAGGCCCTGCCAGGGGCTCTGAGCTCTCCCTGGAGCTTCTCCTCTCCAGGCTGGATGTGGAAGGAAGGCCATCAAAGGGACTTTTCTGGAGAGGGGCGTGTGGAAAAGGGAGATGTTTTGGGTGTTCAGTGTTCTTGGTGGTTGCTCTGAGTGGTTGAGTTGTGTTGCCTGTTGTAGCTTTTCCTTCCTACCAGCAGCTCTCAGTTTGTCAGTTCAGATCAGAGTGGTTTTCCTGCAGCTGCCATGAGAAACACTGAGCCTTGAAGAATACTGGAAGCTTTCGGTGGGTTTTAGGTGTTGGCATTGGGAAGTGAGAACCTAATCCACAGTTTCTCACTGGAATCCTTTTTCCTCCTTGGTGGCTTCATTGAATTAAGCAGATAGTTCTGTGCACAGTCAGCTCCCCTTGGGCTTAATAGAGTGATTATTCTTTGATGCCCTGAAGAATATTTAATTTATAGAGCTTTTCCATGAGTCTTAACAGCATTTTGTTAACAGATCTTTAGTCCTGGTAGTAAGTTGTACAATCTGGTTTAGGCCCGAGAACATCACTGGTGGCTTTTGGTATCCAACATTATTTATTCTGTGGTGCAAGAGTGTGGCTTTTGGTTGTGTCATTCAGTGTTGGGGTTTGATCAGAGCAGACCTCAAAAGGACCTCTTTTAAATTTTACTTGAATTGCTGGCAGTAAATTATTCTTTTTCTCTTTCCAGAGCGAGGCTATGATCCCTACAACCCTGAGCTGCCCAGGCCCTCGCTGGAGGTGGAGGATGGCTTTCTGGCTGACATCACAGATGTCACACCTGGAATTCTGGAGCTGGAGCTGGTCAACAAGGCCATTGAGGCAGTGAAGAACGAAGTGGAGAGGGAGCAGAAGAAGTATGAGGAGCTGCTGGAAACCACAAAGGAGTTTGGTGCTTCAGAGGGCTCCTCACTGATTTCAAACACACCTGTGTCAGCTGCTGGGCCTCAGAATGATTCCTTTGCCTCATTGGAGTACAATCCAGGGAGCTACAGCTTCAATAATAACTCAGACTACAACCCCACTCCTCTGGCTGCTGCTGGCCGATCCAGTAAATACACTTTGGATTCCTCCCGCTCCAAAGGGAGCTCACTGGAATATGTCCCCAAGGCTGTAATACAGAATAAAAAATACAGCAGCACTGTCACTAACAACAAATACGTGATTGATGACTCCAAGCCTTCCACAGACTTGGAATATGACCCCCTTTCCAATTACTCTGCCAGGCTGTTGGGCAAAGCCACAACCAAGGGCTCCAAAAGGGAAAGGGCCTCTGATTATGAGGACTCCTACTCTCCATCACGGAAGAAGCTCTGCGAAGATCCCGATGATGACGAGGTGTTGGCCAGGTTCTCCTCCTCTGAAGATGAGGCTGAGGTAGAATATAAAACAGCTTCTTGTAGTTCACCCTCAAAAGCTAGTTCTGAGAGTGAGTCAAACGAGTTCTCCAGCAAAGAGCAGAGCACAAAAGTGGATGGCTCTGCTTCCCAGGAGAGCAAAGAAGCAGCACAGCACAGGGAGGACCTTCTAAATTCACAGAAAAACCTTGCCAAGAACTCGTCCGATAAGAACTCAAAGGCAGCGAAGTTGTGTTCTGGTAAGAACAACAAGGAAATTGAAAATAAAAACAAAGACTCCAAAGACAAAACAAAAAAGAAGAAAAATGATGTTAGTAAAGCACCAGGCCTCGGTGAGGCTGGGAAGAAGGAGAAAAATAAAAATGCAGACAAAGACAAAGCGCTCAAGAAAGAAGAAAAATTAAAAACCAAGAATGAAGAGAAAAACTGCAAAGACAAAAGCATCAAAGTGAAAACAGATGGGAACTTAAAGAAACCTGAAAAACCGAAGTCAGAAAAAGTGGATGGGTATAAGAAAGAAAAATCCAAGTCCACCACCAGCAGTTCAGGGAAAAGCAAGAGCGAGGGTGTCACCAAGGGCACAGAGAAAGTGGGGAGCAGCAAGAAGGATTCGCAGAGCAGAACAGCTGATGTGAAAAATGGCAAGGAAAGCTCTGGTCGTAAAAACAAGGAGAAAGGAACCAAGACCTCCCTGGAGCGAAAGAAAGACAAGGTCAGTTGTGCAGGAGAAGGAGACCCCAAGAAGGGTCGGAAGCAGCAGAGTTTGAGCCACGTGGACCTGTTTGGAGATGAGAGTGGAGATGAGGATGACAAAGGCCGGCCTTTGTCCTCCTCGTTGCTTGATGTGAGCTCGGACTTGGATGGGACTGACTCTGGCTCAGCCTCTGACAGTGACAAGGACAGGAGGAAGAAAGTGAAGCGCTCAAAGTTGTCCAAGTCATCATCATCTTCCTCAACATCTGATGACATTGATTATTCCATCCTTGAGAAAGATGTGGACTTCGAGACGGATCCCATGGAGGAGTGTCTCAGGATCTTTAATGAATCTAAAGATGTGAAAACTGAAGACAAGGGAAGGCTGGGCAAACAGGTAATGCTGGGTTGGGGCTGTTGGTTCTCTCCCCTCCTAAGGTGGAAGGATTCTGGTTTGGTTTAGTGGTGCTGCTTGTCTCAAGCAGCTGAAGAGGGAGACTCCATGTGTTGGAAGAATGTCTTCCTTGTTGTGACTGAGTGCTTGGAAGTGAATTTGCACCTGCTGGATTGAAAGCTGCTGTGAAATGCAAGGGTTCAGTCCCCTTTCATGTGGAAGGCTTTCAGCTTTCAGGGATATCAATTACTTCTGTCTCCATCTGGCCTGAGAACCTTGGGAGTGTGGATGGCTGGAGAAGAGGCTACAGGGGAGTGAGTTTGGGGGTTTCAAAGCCAATTTAAGGTTGCCAGTCTGGGCACTGCCTTCTTGTTGCAGCAGAGTTTAAGGAGCATGGGGGGCAGGTAGAACCTGACAGGTTGTTGGTGCAAGTCCAGTATTTGTCAGACACTTTGGAGACTCCCCAAATTCATCTTTGCTATTCTAAATGCATACTAGAGGTAGTTCCTCAGGATCTCTGGATACCTTGTGGGTGGTGCAAGCAAGAAATGGAGGGCAAAATTTCTTCAATGGTACCAGGGCCTTTAGACTAAGGAGGTAAAAAAGACAGTATTGACATAAAAATAAAATAGTTGAAAGACACATAATCTGTAGCAGGAATTACTGATCAGTGAATTCAGAAAGTGCAGAGCCAGGGACTGCCACTCACAGCCAACAGTGAACTGTGGCCTGGAGTGACAGAGCTCAGCTGTCAGCAGCTCCTTTGCATCCCTGTGCTGAGGTAAGGAGGCTCACTGCACCCAGCTCACAGGGATCCTTCTTTGGGAGATGGGTGTCTGGGGGTGGGATTGGCCATGGGGCATTTTTTTTTGTTTATGAAATGATTTCCTAGATGGACCCATTGTGGTTTGACACTGGCCAAACACCAGGCACCCACAAAAGTGACTCCCTTGCCCTGCCCTGCTACAGCTGCATGGAGGAGAGAAAAAATTCAAACCAAGGGTTCATGAATTGAGACAAGGACCAGGAGAGAACACTCTGAGGGCAAAACAGGCTCAGCTTACAGGTCCAGAGTGAGTTTATTGCTAACAAAATCAGAGGAATATAATGAGAAATAAAATAAGCCCTTAAAACACCTTTTTCCACCCCAGCCCCTCCCTCCTGCCCACTGACAGCACAGGGAGACAGGGTATGGGGATTTTGTTCAGTTCATCACCAAGATTTTCTTCCACTGCTCTGGGAGAGGAGTCCCTACCCTGTGAGACTGTGGGGCCCCTCCCAGGGGAGACAGTTCTCTGAACTTCTCCAGCGTGGGTCCAGTCTCACGAGCAGCAGCCCTACCACACCTGCTGCAGTGTGAGTCCCTGCCATGGGCACACAGCCCCCCAAAACTGCTGCAGTGTGGTCACTCTCCCTCAGCGTGCACTCCTCCAAGGACAGGCTGCTCCAGCCTGGAAGCAGGGCTCTCTCTCCACAGGGTCTCCACTGGAGCACAGCCCCCTCCAGGTACCCACGGCTCTGGTGTGGGCACCTCTGCCAGGGGCTGTGGGTGGATCTCTGCATCCCCTGGGGATCTCTTCATCCCTTGGGGATCTCTGCATCCCCCATGGATCCCCAGGGGCTGTGGGTGGATCTCTGCATCCCCCATGGATCCATGGGCTTCAGGGGCACAGCTGCCTCACCATGGTCATCACCATGGCCTGCAGAGCAACCTCAGCTCTGGTGCCTGGAGCACATCCTGCCCTTCCTTCTCCCCTGACCTAGGTGTCTCCATGTTGTTTCCCTCACATGTTCTCACCTCTAGCTGGAATTCAAAATGCATGCCACACTTTATTTTGATTTTCTTCTTAAATCTGTTATCACAGAGGTGTTACCATCTCCTCTGATTGGCCCAGCCTTGACCAGCAGCAAGTCCATCTTCAGAGCCACCAGGGATTGGCTCTGCTGGACATGGTGGAAACTTCCAGCAGCTTCTCACAAAAACCACCTCTGTGCATTCCCCCCACTACCAAACACCAGGCTGTGCGAAACCAACACAACCCTGTGTTGTTTGGTCTCGGTAATGTGCCAGGCCTTGGCATGGAGCTCAGGGAAAGGTTCTTCCCCCCGAGGGTGCTGGCACTGCCCAGGCTCCCCAGGGAATGGTCCCGGCCCCGAGGCTGCCAGAGCTGCAGGAGCGTTTGGACAGCGCTCTCAGGGCTGCTCAGGGTGGGGCTGTTGGGGTGGCTGGGCAGGGACAGGGGCTGGGATCAATGATTTTTGGGGGTCTCTTCCAGCTCAGGATACTCTAGGATTCTGTGATTGCATGTGCTTTTCTGCTTGGGAGAATTGCATTGTGAGAGAGTTTATTTGGGGTGTAAATGAATTAACAGACTCTGGGGTTCCTGGGGAGCCAAGTGATTCAGGGTGAGCTGCTCATCCATAGTGCCCTTGTGGTGATGAACACAGCCTTATCCCAAGTGGTGCCTGAGCTCATCCCTGAATCTAGCCTTGGCTCTGTTGCTGAATTTCAGAGATTGTCAGGCTCATGTCAAAGTTTGCCAGGAGTTGTTTTGAGAAACTGAAAACAAGATGTCTGGAGAGCAGCTGGAGTTGTGAGAAAGAAACTTGTGAAGTGTTTGTGTCAATTAACAACTGAGTCAAATTTCAAGCAGATTTCCAAGTGGTTCTCCTTGTTCAGGAGCGTGTGTGAGGTGTCAGCTTGGAGTAGCTTTGGCTGGAGAGGTGCTTCTGCCTCCTGCTGAGTTTCTGGATGTGACCTGGGCTGTGTCACTAGAGTCTTCCTGGAGTGACAGCTGTGACTGAACCTGCAGAAAATGTTTCCCTAAATGTGGGGTGAGGGCAACATGGTTTGGTGTTGAGCAGGTGTCAGCACCTGCCCAGGGCAGAAATGAGTCAGTTCCCAACTTCTTAAAAAAACCAACCCACCCCAAACCCTCTGGAGTGTGAAAATGCCATGGGAGGTGAGGGGTGTGAGTGGCTGGCAGGGGAGGGCTGTTCCAGGCTCCTGTGGCAGGTAAGGCTGATCCTGCCCCATGCCAGCTCACGGAGCTGCTGCTGGGGTGGGAATGTCCTGCTGCTGTTCCCTGGCTTCCTTGGTGCTCCTGGGCTCACAACAAGGTTCTTGTCAGTGGCCCAGCAGCTGGCCACGTGTTCTCACCTGTTCTCTTCAAGGTTAACCCAAGAGGAGACTTTCCACATCTCCCTCTTGTGAGGGATCTTCAAATCTGTTCTCCTGTTCTTTTGTTTTCCAGCCTTCCAAAGAGGAAGCAAATGAAGAAAAGACAGAAGATAATTTAACTACCTTGTTTCCTGGACAAAAAAGAAGGATCTCTCATCTTGTCAAACAAGGAAATGTAAGTGCAGATTTAGAGGCAGATTAGTTTAAGTTGTTCCAAGTGAGGATTTTCTGTCCTGACCCTGGAAAAGGCTGCACTCCCAGGGCCAGGCAGCAGTGTGAGAGCTGTTTGTGCTGGAATCAGTCTATGGCAGTTTTATTTCCTCTCTTTCCAATTTCTCAAAAAACTCTCATGTTTAGGATCTGTTAAAAGTGGCAGCAGAACTGTCAATCAACCTTCCTAAAACCAAGGGTAGGCTGGGAAGAGTGGATTGTGCTCTTAATAACCCCTTGGGATAGGTTGGGGTGTTCATTTTTCTCCAGTATAGCTTAATTTAGAGTTTTCAGTAAAAATCAGCTAGTCACAATGTCACTCTGTGCCTGCTGGTGTTTTTCTGTGCCTTGTGGATCTAGAAGATACTACAGGAATTTGGTCAGATGTTTAAAACCATTACCTTACATCTACTCTGAATCAGCCAAGATCTCAGCAATATTTGTTTGGATATTCTTCTTTCCCATTTGTGCAAATACAGAGAAAAAGAATTTAAAAAAAAAATGCCAAGAATACATTCTGATTTTTTAGTCCTTTCTCCCTGGGATTTTAATTCATGTTTTCTCTGAGGGTTTAATGTGTTTCCCTCCAGGTGCTGATCACAGATTAGTTTTATGTTGCAGCAGGATAAGAGTGGAGGCTTGTGCACTAATTTGAGCTGGGTAGTCCAAATTAATTGTTCTGCCTTTCCTCTCTGTCTAGGGAAGGTTTTTTTGCCTTTAATAATTTGAAGTCCTGGAGTCAATACAATGGGTTTTATTTAACTGCATATCTCCAGCCAGTTCATGTGGTTTGATAAGGGCCCTTTCTTCCAAAGTGAAGAGATAAGAGACTGAAGCAAATGGCTTGGAAATTCATTAACTCAAATATTTATTGCAAAGAGGTACCTTTTCGACACGTACAAATCTTTAAATATGTTTTTTTAATGTGACAGCTGATCCCAAAATGCTTTCCAAAGATGGGAGCCCCAGCACAGCCTTTGCTTGGGCAAACAGAGCTGATCTGGTGTGCTCAGCTGCCAGGGCAGCTCCAGGACCTGCATTCCCTGCAGTATCTCAGCTCAGAGCAGCTCCCAGCTCTGCCCAGGAGATGCTGTAACACCTCAGCTGCCACTTTTCACATCAGAGTGTGCTTTGCTGTGTCCCTCCAAGTGGAATATTTGCTCAGTCTTGCTCATGATTTATGGCTCAAGGACTGAGCAGGAGAAGGGGAGGGAGCTGAGTTTGGGGTTGATTGCCAGGGGAAATGGGGGCCAAAGGAATTGCAGGTGATGCAGAAAATGAGTGGCCTGTCCTGCTTGGAAGTCTGTAATTATAATTTAATGTCTGACTGCACCCAGTTTGGTATCCAGAAGCTGTCAGCATCAGAGGCCAGGAATGCAGGAGGTGCCAGCTTGCCCCCAGGTGTTGCACTGGGCCATCCTCCTCCAAGGGGATTTCAGGAGGGGAGGCCTGTTCCTCACATTTCAAAGGCTGTTAAGTGGAGGGAGAAGTTTGTACTACTGCTGCTTCTCTTGCACTTCTGGTGCTAGGAAACTTCTCTCTTTGCTGACATAAATTCTGGCACTTTTCCTGCAAAGCTAAATTTGGCCATCAAAGGAAACGCGTGTGGAACCTGTTTGTGCTGTAACGGCCGAGGCAGTGAGGTGCCTCCAGAAATGGGCAGGGACAGAGCCTGTTTGAAATTCAGAACTCAGTTTATGTAAGGCTCTGATCCCATAAATACTTCTCTGTGAGGCTTTTAAACAGTTCCAGGGCTGCAGAGAGGTGGGAGCTGCTGTGGTGCAGAAGTGGATGCAGGGGTTCCTCAGGGAGAGAGCAGTGGAGCTCAGTGTCGTGTGGCAAAGAGGAGTGGAGAATTATTGTCACTTTTTTATTGCAGTAGAAAGCAAAGTAGGCAGCACAGGGCTAGGTCAGTGTGCTAGGGCAAGGCTGAGGGTGTTGGTAGAGCCCAGGGCTGGGTTGGGCACAGCCACGGGGAGCATCACACCACTAAAAGCAGTTCACGAATCCCACCTGCCCATTGAGGAACGTGCCAGTGAGCTGGGAGGCCTTCCCAGAGCGTGAATCATTAATGCCGTGTTTGTTGAAGGATGACTCCTAATTATTTTGTTCTGGAGGACACTTGGGATCTTGTCCTCTCAAAACCCTGCACTTGCTAAGGGAGGGGTTGAGGAGAAGAGACCTTTCTGGGGTGAGTGGAGGGCAGGGGGTGTGGATGGAGCAGGGGAGCTGCTGGCCCTAATGCTGTTTGTCTGTGCAGGCAGAGGCCCCGAGCAAGCCGGTGGTGCGGCCCTACCGTCCCCCCACGGCCCAGGAGGTGTGTTACCAGAGGATCCAGCTGGCTCAGCAGCAGGCAGCACAGCTGGTTGGGACTGTTCAAAAGACCTCTCTCTGTTTGCCAGGAGAAAAGAGGAGGATTGCTCACGTGCCAAATGCAGCCCTCACCGCAGCAGCCAAGCAAAGTAAGCCAGTGGCGGGATTTGGGATCGCTGTCCTGTCGTCCCCTGGTCAAAGACTCTGCTGTGTGCTTACATTCCCCCTGAGCACGTGTGAAGCTGTCAGGGGATGTGTAGGACTGGCCATGACCTGAATCTTTGCTGAGGGTGTCCAGTGGAAATTCCACCTTGTTGTGAAAAGCAACGGGTTAGATGTGTACAGCCTCATCTGTCTCACCCAGCCTCCCTCACTTCAACTCTCCTTTTTCTGTTTCTTCCTTGGATTGTGTTTGCTCTTCATTCCCTCTTCCGTTTAAGCCTGGAGGTGGCAGGAGCAGGAGGGAAGTGCTAATGAAGGCTCATTGCTGTGCCTTTGTAGTGGAAGGACTCAGAGCTGACGTGTGGGGTGTCAGAGCCTCCAGCTGACAGAGTTACCTCTGCTGACTCAGTCACCCCAAAACAAACCCAAATGAGACACGTTTCCTGGCAGAAGATTTCTTCATCCTTGCCTGCAAGGTGGCAAAATTGCCCAATTTGTATCCCTTTGGAGACCTGGATTTGAGGAAATCACAGCTTGCAGTACTGACCTTTGATAGTGAGTTCATTCTGGCAGCCTGAAGCCCCGTGGCAGGATTTGCACCTGAGTGTTTTGTGTTCCCTGCAGGCCTCGGGAGCAGTAAGGCGACTGTTGGTGGCAGGAGTGTCACACCTTCCAATGACTCTGAAGCCCCCACCCTTCCTCTGAAGCCTTGCACCTTGGCTGGGATGGCTTCCAAGACCACCAGCACCATCGTGCCCAAAAGGGTAGCACATGTTCCCTCCTTACAGGTAAGGGGGATTTGAATTCTTTCTTGTCGTTCCCCAGGGAGGGTGGAATGTTTGATCCTGCTGTTCCAAACTTAGCAGTCCCTGAGAGTGGTGTTTTGATTATGTTGATTGAGTGGGTTTGTTTCTTCCTGTGGTTTTCCTAGATAGCATTGTATAAAAAATTAAACACTCAAGGCGTAGGAGCTTAAAAAGGTAGAAATGCTTAAATGCTGCTCTGATCTCTGTGAATATTGATCACTTGTCTCCAATTTGAGCCTTCTCTTGTGCTGACTGGCCTGGGTGTGTCTGGGTCAGGGGCTTGGAACCTCCCATGCTCAAAAGCCAGGGATGGATTCATGGCCTTCCCAGGCTCTGTGGGCCGCATTGGTGGTGATGAATAATGTCCCTCTGTGACCTAGATAGTAAAATGTGAGCACTGAACTTCGTGCTGCTGCTGGTGTTTAAAGAAAAGACTATTTTGTCTTTGTTAGTTGCTTTTGTTTTGTTTCTCTTTATCCACTGGGATCTCTGTCCAGCCTTTGGGTGCCTTTGCTATGAATTCCTCAGCAAAGTGACAGGACACAGGGAATGGCTTCCACTGCCAGAGAGCAGGGACAGATGGGATATTGGGAAGGAATTCTTGGCTGTGAGAGTGGGGAGGCCCTGCCCCTGGATCCCTGGCAGTGTCCCAGGTCAGATTGGAGGGGCTTGGAGCAACCTTGGACAGTGGAAGGTGTTCCTGCCCATGGCAGGGGGAGGGAATGGGATGATTTTTAAAGCCCCTTCCCACCCAAACCATTCCATGATTGTGTTAAGTCCCTCCTTTCCATGAGCACTGGGAAGCTGTTACTTGCTAAGACAATTGAGAGCAGGATTCCTCCTGGAGCAGCCTGGGGATGGCATAAGGAGCTGTTTGCTGGAGTGGATGGCAGAACTGTGTAGTGCCAGGACTTGATTAAAGATCCCTTTATTGATGATGGTTTGTGTCAAGATGTGTCAGAACTTGCTCTGATTATTTCTGGAAGAGTGAAAAGTAATTCTTTTCCTTTCCCATCCAAACTGCCGCCATAGTAATGTAGAACTTGAAGCTGATTCAAAATAAGAGAAATAACTGAAAGGATGAAGTATTTAGCAGAGTTACAGAGGTGCTTAAGGGTATAATGTTAGAGATTGAGAATTTATATATTTAATGAAAAGGACCAAATCCCCCTGAACAGGGCATCAAGGTGAGAGTCTGGGGAAAATGAGCACTTTTCCCATTAAGACAGGACCAGTTGCTCCCCTTGGAACAAGCTCACATCTTCCACAGAGCTGTCTTTGTTCCAGGTTGCATCAGATGGTTTGGTTTATGGATATCTCTTGGGTGGGATGGAGAACAACTGACAAAACAATTGGGTATTTTAGAGATGAATGAACATTTTCCTCTCTGAAAAAGAGGCGAGTGTGCTGTGGTGTGGAGGATAAACTAGTGTGAAATGGAAAGCTGCAGTGGCTGGTCATAGCTCAGTCCAACATGCAGCTTTTGAGGAACATGCTATTAAATTGAAGGGGTAAATCCTTCTAGGATTTAAACATCATGATTGGCATTAAAAAAGGAAGAAAATCCCCAATGCAGTCAATTTGTAGGAATGCCTCAGGAAGTGGGGGGTGGGATAAGTGACAGGAGGGGCCTCCTGTTCTCTCTTCACAGCCAGAGAACCAAACCTGTCTGTGCAGCCCACAGCTGGTGTTGTGTGTTCATGGCTCCAGCTCAGCCTGTGGTGCTTGGTGCCATCCTAACCTTGGATCTCAGTGGAAATGTCAGCATTTTCTGCTTTGGAATGCTGTGTGTGGCTAATGCCATTGCATCCTTGGCTCCTGCCTGACTTCAGAGTGAAATACAGCTGTTTCCTAAAGGAAAACACTGAAGGTGGTGAAGCCTCAAGTGGTATTTTTAGTACCAAAAGTGCTGCGTGTTAAGTTTGGCTTTGGGCAGATTTTCGAAAAGGAAGTCATCCCATGATTAGTAACAGGAAGTGGGAGAGCCTCAGAGCAACCTCCTGGAGCCTGACCAGCCTCTTTCTCTCTCTGTCTCACCTCCAGAGCACCACTTTACAGAGGCCTGTTATTCCCACAGAATTTGGTGCTAAAGTCCCAACCAACATTCGCCAGAGGTATCTCAATCTCTTCATCGATGAGTGCCTGAAATTCTGCTCCTCATCCCAGGAAGCCTTCGACAAGGTCTGTACAGATCCTGCTTCTCAGGAATATCCTTTGCAGCAGGGAATGACATCCTCTGCCTTGGCCAAGACCTGCTACAATGGTAGCAAATCCAGAAAACTGAATTGGACTTATGCTTGCAGAAACTTGGGGGTGGGAACTAGATGATCTTAAGGTCCCTTCCAAGCCAAACTATTCCCTGATTCCCTGAAGACTCCCCTATCCACAGCTGAGGAAACTGGCATTAAATATTACCAGACTGGGCAACAGAAAGTGTCATTCCAGTGGGGGCTTCCAGTAGGAAATCCCATCTTTCCCTTCATTTGGAAAGCTTGCCTGATGCCTTTAATAACCCCAGAAGAGGAGTGCAGAGGAATGTGCATTGTGGTCAAAGATGTTTTGCCCTGCTGCAGCCAGAAAAACCTCCTGGAATCAAAGTGTTGAGCACAGGAAGGTGTTTGGGATAGATGTAATTAGTTGGGAATTGGTTCTTTGCTGCTTCTGAAGGCTATTAAGGAGACTTTAAGGAACCTTCTAGCAGGAGGGACAGTATAGTAGGATTTCCAAAAGCAGAGTGGAGAGAATAATACATTTTATTGGAAAAGCTTGGCTGTTAGTTGGGTAAATGTGGGACATTGTGTGGTGTGTTCCAAAACAAAGCAGACACCACAAGGATTTCTTTTGTGGGATTCCACCTTCCCAAGGAGTCACCATTTGCCAAACCTCCTTTTCTTACCAGTTAAGAACTTGCACTGCACCAAGGTGAGGAAAGCAGCCTTTCCCAGGCAGTTCCAAGAACAAGAATTACTTGATGAAAACATGGCAAGATTAGATCTTCCTGGGAGCAAGAGCAACTCTGGAATACTTAAGCCAAGGTGGCAGCAGACTTTATATTAGGAAAAAGAGAAGGGATTCTACCAATTTAAAATACGTTGAAGTTTGAAAAAAATTTTTTTTTGCTAATTAGGAAATTTTTGTTAATCTCTTTGGGAAAGTTTCACATGAAGAAAAAAAAAGTGTTTTTCCAGCACTTTGTTTAAAATAAAACAACTTTTTTCCTCTTACTTACCTGAGCAAGTACATATTGGTGCCATGTTCTGATTTATTACTCAGTTCCTTGTTGTGCAGCTTTTTTTTGGTTGATGCTTTGTGAAGGCTGAGCTAGAACAGAGACTAGCCAGAGCTAAAGAATAAAATAGGGATTTATTAAAAGGCCTCAGTGGATCTACCTTGGGCAGCACAAGAGCCCAGCCAGGGCTGCACCCAAGATGAACCAAAATGGTCACAAAATGCACAACTGCTCACGGGGTCTCTCACTTTGATCAGTTCTGCTCCATTTACACTTTGGAGTTCATTGTCCAATTCCAGCTCCAGCCCAGGCAGTCCCATCCTGCTTGTTCTTCTCTCTTCATTCCACGTTGTTTGTGCTCTTGGGCTGAGATTTGGATCATTTGTCCTTGGTGCCCAGCTGGAGCAGGAATTGTTTTGTCTCCCTGCTCTGTGCAGAGAGTTCACCATCCCCTCATGTGAAGCCCAGACCCACACACTAAGCACACACACTAAATAGCTTTTCTATTTTTCAGCACAGAACCTGAAAAATAGGAAAGCTAAATACTCAGCATCACTACTTGGAATCTGTATTTAAGAGCCAAACACTTATTTTCTCCAAAAGCAATGGAAGCTGTGGCTGCCCCATCCCTGGAAATGTTCAAGGCTAGGTCAGATGGGGCTTGGAACAACCTGGGATAATGGAAGGTGGGAAAAAGTGATCTTTGAGGTTCCTCCAACCCAAACCATTCTGGGGTTCTGTGGACAGTGGAAGGAGTGTGGTGATGACTTGTGCTGTTCCCAGGCCCTGGCAGAGGAGAAGGTGGCCTACGAGCGCAGCACCAGTCGCAACATCTACCTGAACGTGGCTGTGAACACCCTGAAGAAGCTCCGCAGCCTCGTGCCCAACTCCCCAGCCAGCACCAACAGTAGGTACCTTGCACCTGAACAGCTGGAGCCCTGCTGGGGTTACAAACCACAGAGAGAAACTTGTCTGAAAAGCCAGAACCCATTTCTCAGCAGCATTATGCTGAAAGGCAAACAGCTCCAGTTTAGCTTTTTATAGCCTGGCAAGCCTTAATGGGCCTTCAAGAGGCAGGTCCTACAATGCTTTGTTGGCTTTCTCAGCCTAAATGGAGATAATGCCACACGGGTGGGTTTTTTTTTTAGCACAAGTTCTTTCAAATGAAAAGCCCTGCTAATGGAGTAACTTTCACATGATGCCTTCAAAGTGATAGACTCGTCCATCACCACAGAAATCTGCTACACACATTAAGCTTCAAGAGAGAAACGAAGAGGGTTAAGACATTTCATTATTGGCTCTCGAGAGGGTACATTAAACAATCAATTTGTGCTGTTCTTGTGAATTTTTTTTCCTCTGGTCTCTTCCTTTTTCTCCCCTCTGTCTTCATTATGTTCCTGGCCATTAGGCAGAGCAGCTGAACTTGGAGGCTGGCCTTTAGGAGAGGGCTGCCAGTTAATGATTAGTAAAAAGCCCCTCTCTGCCATTGTCTGATGTGTTGAGCATATTCTAGAGCTCTGAAGCTCCTTTCTGAAAGGAGCTGAAGGATCCTGCGTGGGAGGTTGGTCTGCAGGGCCCCAGAATCAAAGCTGCTTCCTGGGGGTGGGTGATGCCCTCACACAGCACATGAAGGGGTCAAGTTGTTCAAGTTGTTCCTGTGCTGGCTCCTCTCTTTTGGTGAGTTGGAGGGCTGGCTGTGCAGAGTGAGCAGGGAGAGCTACAAGTTTCTAGCAGAACTGGAAAAGTGTCTTTGCTGCTCTTAAAATTGCTGTAGGCTGACAGTGTGAGCGGAATACTCTCTGTGGTGCTGGAATGGAAATGCTGGGCCAGCATGTGACACAAAGAATCCATTTCTGGAGCAAAACAAGAGTTAAAGAGAACAGACACAGTCCTCCCTCCTCTTGCCCATGTATAGTGTCCCAAACTAGGACTGAAGTCACCCACTGGGTGCCTGATCTCTGTCCCCTGTGCTGTTCCCTTCTCCTTGCAGAGACAAGTAACAAGAAGGTGGTGTCCCACGAGGCTGTGCTGGGAGGGAAGCTTGCTGCCAAGACCAGCTTCACTCTGAACCGCTCAGGGAGCCTGAGAGCCGAGGATCTGACAGGTCAGACCCTGCTCCTGCTGGGCTCTCACTTGTGAGGGGGGAGCTGAGCTGTGATATTGATTGGGGGGTGCAGGATCGGGCTGGTGGCTCACCTCGACTTGTGGGGGCAGTTTAGCCACCACACTGTCAGAATGATCTAAAGCTGTTGGAGAATGTCCCAAGGAGGGACACGGAGCTGGGGAAGGTCTGAGGAGCGGCTGAGGGCACTTGGCTCGTTCAGCTGGAGCACAGGAGATGAGGGGAGGCTCCTCGGGGCTGCAGCTCCTCCCGAGGGGAGGCAGAGGGGCAGGGGCTGAGCTCTGCTCTGGGACAGCTCCTGGAGCCCAGCGAGGGCTGGAGCTGTGCCAGGCCTTGGCATGGAGCTCAGGGAAAGGTTCTTCCCCCCGAGGGTGCTGGCACTGCCCAGGCTCCCCAGGGAATGGTCCCGGCCCCGAGGCTGCCAGAGCTGCAGGAGCGTTTGGACAGCGCTCTCAGGGCTGGGCAGGGTGGGGCTGTTGGGGGGTCTGGGCAGGGACAGGGCTGGGCTGATGATCCCTGGGGGTCCATTCTAACTCAGGATTTTATGACCTGAAGAGCTGGGATTTCTCTGTTCTCTGGCTGCATCACAGAGCTGCAGGGTCCCTTGGGGGATGGTGACACCACTGACCAGTGCCCTCCTTCTGTCCTCACTGGGGCTCTGAGGTCACTGCTGCAGCCTGGCTGGCTTTGATGGAGCATCAATAACCATTCAGAGCTGCCTCTTGTGCTTTGGGCATTATTTTACTTCAACTTTCTTGCCCTGAAGCACTTCTTTACAATGTGCCTGTCAGATTAAAAGGCACACTTAAAAATCTCCATCTCTGCAGTGCTCAGTTTCACTTTTACCAATGCCACAGTAAGGTCGTATCATAGCCAAAGGGTTGTGCCACAAGCATTTTTCATGTGGGCTCAAATCAGTTATGGGTATTTTGGTTGCCAAGAGATGTAGGCAGATTGTGGAGGAGATCAGAGAAGAGCCAGGGAGGCCATGGAGCAGAAGGAATTGACATTGAGAAAGCTTAAAAGGGCCAGTATAGCTCAGCTAAGCAACATCAAAGGGCACCCAGGAATATTGGAAGGGTTTAATGCAGCAGCCAAAGGAGATATTGAGCAGAGTGCAAGAAGTTATTATTATTCTGTGAAACGAAACAAGCAGCCTGAAATCAGTAGCAGGAAGAAACTCCTGATAATGAAGTTTTTAGGGAGTTATTCATGGCCTTTGAGGGGTATTTGAGGGTTGTGTTACCAGTTATCAGCTGTTGAATTTAAACATTCAAATGGGAGAAATTTCACATTTAGTGACAGGACAAGGGGGAATGGCCTCCCCCGCCAGAGGGCAGGGCTAGATGGGATATTGGGAGGGAATTCGTGGCTGTGAGGGTGGGCAGGCCCTGGCACAGGGAGCTCAGAGCAGCTGTGGCTGCCCCTGGATCCCAAAGCCAGGTTGGATGGGGCTTGGAGCATCCTGGGATATTGGAAGGTGTCCCTGCCATGGCAGGGGGTGGAATGGGATGATCTCCAAGGTCCCTTTCAACCCAAATCAGGTTGGTTCTATCAGTATCAGCAAGGCTGAAGATGGGCCTTTTGGAGGAATTCTGTTCCAGCTATGCTTTCCAGACTTAATGCTCCTTGTTCAAGGAGTTTAAAAATCAGCTTGTACAATAATGGCCAGATTTTAAAAATGACCACCCAACACCTATTCCTCTGTCCATCCTGAGCTGAGGCAGTAGAAGCAAGTTCAGAATAGGGAGGGAAGTTCAGTTTATCAAGGCAGGAGACTTGGTAAAGGCAGAGAAACAGGCAGTGCTTTGGTGATGAGAGCTGAGCTCTGTGTTTGTGTGCAGGAGCTGCCCTGTACCGGCGCCTCAAGGAGTACCTGATGACTGAGGAGCAGCTCAAGGAGAACGGGTACCCAATGCCTCACCCTGAGAAGGCTGGACGTGCTGTGCTCTTCACTGCAGAGGAGAAGAAAGTGATTGACTGTAAGCTCTGCTGCCTCTTTCCTTCTGCAGGATTTGCTGGATACAGCAGGAGCTGCCCCTTGGTCGTGTTGTGATGGGGAGTGTGGCTGCAGAACTCTGCTGCATGGAGAGTTTCTTCAGCTTTCACATCCTGAGAATGCTGGTTTTGGGTTTATAGTCTATGGGGCTGAGGGAGGTTTCTAATTTCTAATTCCCAGGTTACAAGCGACAGAGTAAAAGGAAACAGCCTCAAGTTGCACCAGGGGAGGTTTGGATTAGATATAAGGGAACATTTATTTGTGGAAAAGGTGGTGAAGCATTGAACAGGCTGCCCAGGGCAGTGGTGGAGTAATCTCCCCGTAAATGTTGAAAAGATGTTTGGATGTGGCACTTGGGGACATGGTTTAGTGGTGGCCATGGTGGTGGTGCTGGTGTTTGGATTTGATCTTAAAGGTCTTTTCCAACCTCAGCAATTCCAGGATTCTGTGCTGCCAAGGAACAGCAATCGAACAGGTTGGAAAGAGGCTCCTGTTCTGCACTTGGTGACCCCCCCCTCTTCCAGGGGAAGGATTTCTTTTCTGTCTCTGTCTGTGTGAGCTGCTCTTATGGTGGGATAAGGACTGACACTGGGCCAGGCTGGCTTTGCAGTGGCTCCTGCTGTGATGCTCTGAATTGCTGAGTTTTCTATTTGATCTCATGGCACTGCTGGGCCAAATAGTTCCTCAGAGCCCTTTTTGCAGCTGGACAAAATGATCATAAAATCACAAAATAGTTTGGATTGGAAGGGACTTTAAAGCCCATCTCATTCCACCCCCTGGAACACCTTCCACCAGACTGGGTTACTCCAAGCCACGTCCAACATGGCCTTGAACCCACAGGTTTTCTCAGGACAGGATGGGATCTTCCTCTGAATTTTCTGAACTCATGCAAGATTTCTGCTCCTCAGCCCGTTAATGAGGCAGGCTGTGCTGCAGCAGGGATAAAATCCAGACTGGTGATTTCTGTTGAGGTGCTTTGCCACGCTCCCCTGAGCATCTCTGTGGAGAGACCTCAGTAAAGTGTGTTAAGTGCTCATCCATGTTAACACCTTGTGCCTACATTTGTCCTGTGGTTGCTGAAGCAACCTGGGCAAAAGCTCTCTTGCATTAACACTGTCAAGTGCTGTATTTGTGAGAGCCCTTTTTTCCCAGGAACCAGCCAGCTCCTTTATATGAACCTGAGCTCGTGTTCCTGGTTTTGTTCCTGTAGTTTCCTGCAGATGTTGCAAGATCTTTGAATTTCTTCTTGTTTAACTAAAGCTGTTGCTGCCAGTTGTGACCAGTTGGGCAGGGCTGGGAATGTGCTAACAGCTTTAATGCTGACACCAAAACTCATGGAATTGTATGGAGATCAGAAGCTAGCTAGATGATAGCTCCTTCCCAGTGGCTTTTTGCATCTCCCTTCCCCAAATTTTGGGCAGTAAAAGCAGAGGTGGTAGGAGGGAGCAGTTGCCAGGCCCTGCCCTATGTGCTCCTGTGTTTAGCTGCTGGAAAATCCTGACAGAAAAGCTGTGCCCTAGAAGAGCTAAAATGTCATTTGGAAGTGACAAGGCACAGATCCCCTGGAAACCAGGCTTCATTAGCTCTGGTGTCCAAAGAATGACTTATTTTTCCTGTTTCTTAAAATAACTGTGTTAGACTCCAACGTAATTTGCTGTGCACAGAGAAACAATGCAGCAAACCTTGACAGAGCTGGGGGCAGCTTATGAGGACCAAAGCCACTGGAGAGTCTTTGTGTTTGCCTCTGGGAAGTGATTTCAGAGGGATTGCTGTGCCTTTATAGGAGTTTGCAACAACATTTGGAATCCTTTTTAACAGAAAACATCATTTAACAGCATTTGAGGCTTGAGTGATTGTGATTGGCTTTGTTTTGGTCAGGTTAAGGAGGTGAGGGGTAGGAAGGGCTGCTTCCAGTGACCTGGCTGTTGTTTCTCTCCTGTCCCAAGCCTCGTGCAGGATCTGCTGTCGCTGTGGCACCGAGTACATGGTCTCAGCCTCGGGGAGCTGCATCCGCAAGGAGGAGTGTGTGCATCACTGGGGGCGGCTGCGCAAGCAGAGAGGTACAGCCCTGCCAGGAGGATGGCCCGTGCTGCCTGTGCTCCAGTCCAAACACAGAGTCTTCCTCAGCTTGGAGCTCGATTCTGGGGCGTGTCACGCTCCCAGGTGGTGGCAGTTCCTGTGCCTGTCACTGCAGTGACCTCGCAAAGAGCCGCTGGGCTTGGCAGTCCTCAGAATGTGGCACTGGGGCTGCAGCAGAGCTGCTTCATCCTTGTTCAGAAAAGTGAGGGAAAAAACCTTCCTGTGCTTTTTGAAAAGAATCAGCCTTTTAAAAGGCTGACTGGGAGCACTAGAGGTCTGTCACTCCCAGGAGAGTTCACTGATCTTGGCTGAATTCATTTGCAGCAAGGCACTAACCTAGTTTGAGCTCTGCTCTGGTTTTCCACCAGAGCATCTGAGTGGCTTCTGGAGTTTGTCTGGCTGAGTACCAGAGACTTAAACTCTTTAGATTGCTGCCTATGAATCCACAGTTACTTTTCCCCTGTGTCTGACACATTACTGTCATGCTTATCCAGGGGATCTGCACGTGAAAGTCAAAGTTCAGGTCTCTTGTTAACAAGAGTCTTCTCCCTGACCCTTCATCTCTTACTCTTTCAGTGCCAGGTGGGTGGGAAACCCACTACAGCTGCTGCTCTGGAGCTGTGGGGTCACCAGGCTGCCAGGTTGCTAAAGTAAGTGATGGAACAACACCTTTTTATTCTCAGTGACATTTGTGCTCTGCTCACAATGGCAGTGCCTGGGAAATCCTTGCTTAAGCCTTTAGAAGAACAGTGGGTTCCCTTAAGGGGATAAAACAAGTGCAACTTAAATTGTTTTGCTCTGAAATGGAAGGGAAATCCAGTGTTTGACACTCAGCTGTCTGGAGTGAGCTGGGTTCATTTATCCTGAGCTGCCCAGCTCATCATAGAAAAGCTCATGTTCTTTAGTGAATCACCAAAGGAATGAGAAATAAGGGATTTCCTTTTAAGAAGCAGTCTCAGGGCCTTGGCAACAGTGTGCCAAACTATTTTTCCCATCTTTCCCTTTCCAGATTCCCATGCTAAGGTAATTTTATCCTGGTGGACAAATCTTTTCTGACAAGTTTTCTGTTTGTTGCCTGTCCTTGGTTGTCATGAGGGGAGGAATCTTTCCAAGGAGCCTGTTGTAACACCACAGTATCACAAAACTTCTTTTGAGGGAGCCCAGCATTAGAAAAAAGAATGAAGAACCCTCTCAGATGTGGAGTTAGATAGAGCAGAGCACTGTCTGGGGTACCTTAGCACAGGTGCTTTTTTCTTGCCCTTAGGCAGCAGGAGAGTTGGTGTGCCAGCCCAACATCCCCAGTCTGTTTTGTGCCTTTTCTCAGGTCTCTGGGCATGCTCCTTGTCACTTGTTTCAGTGGCATTTTTATATTTGGCAGCTGCCACACAGGGGAGAACCAAAAGCTAGAGGTAGAAGTTGATTCTGAGCAAAATTCAAGGTTTGTTGCAATAGGAAGAGTTGTCTGGGCACTATAAGAGCCTGCCCTGCACAGTTGGATTGGATGGGATTGGATTATTATTTTTCTTTTTTTTTTTTTTTCCTAATGGGTTTAGGATTTTTTTTTTTTTTTAATCAGCTGCTCTGGGCACCCTGTGCCAGGGCCTGCCCACCCTCCCAGGGAACAATTCCTGCCCAATATCCCATCCATCCCTGCCCTCTGACAGTGGAGCCATTCCCTGTGTCCTGTCCATCCATACCAGTATAAAAAGTCCCTCTCTTTCCTTTTTATAAGCCCCCAGTTTTCACATCACCCTTTGGTAGATTTAAGGTTGAATCCACAGCCTGCTCAGCATCAGAGCATGCAGTAAAATTTTGGGATACTGGGGAGCACAGAATCCTTCAGTGTTGAAGAAGGGCTTTGAAAGCACAAAATATTTGTAATGAGACACCATTCTCAGTAACTGGAGCAGTAAGCTGGTTAGAAAAGCTCATGTGTGTGTCCAAGAACAGGGTGGGAAATCCTTGCTTAAACCTTTAGAAGAGCAGTGGCTTCCCTTAAGGGGATAAAACCAAGTGCAACTGAAATGGTTTTGCTGTGCAGTGGTGGGAAAGTGCAGTATTTGACACTCAGGTGTGTGCAGTGAGCTGGGTTTGCTGCAGTTAGGCAGCGAGGCAGGAGATGGCAGGAGGGAGCTGTGCTGCTCCAGGGAGCCTGCAGCGCCTGCTCTTTGTGCTTCCTCGGCTCTCAGAAACAGGAGCAACTTCCCTGCCCTCCTCCCAGCCAGGAAGAATTGGGCACTTTCAGGACAACAAAAATACCTAATAGGGTTTGTTATACCTAATAGGGTTTGTTTGTTTGTTTGTTCGGTTGGTTGGTTTTCATTTCACTTCTCAGTTCTGTTGTATTACCCAGGGAGGGAAGGGCTGAAGCTGCAAGGGAGAAGTGTTTGGTGTCTCCTGGCTGCTGAGCTGCTCTCCCCATTCCCTCAGCAGAGCTGCAGAGTGGACAAGTGCAGCCCCTTGCACCCGGGCAGCAGTGATCCATGAGGCCTTTGAGCAGTGCTGGCTGTGGAATCAGGGAGAGACTGGCCTCAGTGTTGGCCCAGCTGCCTCATTAACTTCAAATGATGCAGTTCCTGTGCTCTGGGGTCACCTGCAGTAGTGACCTGTGCAGGAAAATATGCAAATCCTGCTTTGGTTTCCTCTCTGCCCACACATGTCAGCTTTGCAAGGGCCTCAGTTCCTCATCTCTCCTGCCTTTAATCCCGAGACAAACCAGAACAGTTTCATTCTTTGTAGGGTGAGACCTGTGGGAATCCCTGTACTGTGCTGGACACTGCTGAGGCCCCACCTCAAATCCTGGGGTCAGTTTGGGGCCCCTCACGACAAGAAGGACACTGAAGGGCTGGAGTGTGTCCAGAGATGAGAAGAGAGCTGGGGAAGGGTCTGGAGCACCAGGAGCAGCTGAGGGAGCTGGGAAAGAGGCTCAGCCTGGAGAAAAGGAGACTCAGGGGGGACCTTGTGGCTCTGCACAGCTCCTGACAGGAGGGGACAGCCGGGGGGGTCAGGCTCTGCTCCAGGGAACAGGGACAGGAGGAACAACCTCGAGCTGAGCCATGGGAGGTTGAGGTTGGGTATTAGGAAATTTCTCCACAGAAAGGTTTGTAAAGCATTGGAAGGGGCTTCCCAGGGCAGTGGTGGAGTCACCATCCTTGGAAGTGTTCAGAAAACATGTGGGTCTGGCACCTGGGGACCTGGTTTAGTGGTGACCATGGTTGCTGGATTGACTTGATGATCTTGAGAGTCCTTTCCAACCTTAAGGATTCAGTGATTCCACGACTTTGAGCATGGTGAAGGAGGCTGTGCCCAGATTGCTGTGGTTGTACACAAATACATGGAGATTTTGGGACAGACAAAACTTAAACACAACAAAAAACCTCACTGGGGAATGAATAAGGGAGGGAGAACATCACTTCTGGGTGTGGTGCAGGTTGGTTTTACCTAAAGCCATGTCAGCAGGCAAAAGGACAGTCCCAGCTCTGCCTTGCTTTCTGTTACCTGTTCCTGCTTCTTCTCCTTTAAAGTTCCTCCAGTGTAGAACCCCTGCTTGCCAGGAAGGTTTCAGGGTAACCAGTGGGATCTGTGCTGTGGAGGAGTGTGGGAGTACCTGTGTTGCAACAGCAGCTCAGTCATGCACTGGCTAAAACCACTTGTGAAAACACTCCCTGAGTTTTCCTGCTGGATCTTGTTGACCTGGAGCTTTAGCTGGGAACAATGCAGAGTGCTTGGAAATGCCCTTTATTGCCTCAAGTGCTGGTGGGCTGGAGCTCCTGTGGGTGTGGGCTGGCTGGGTGTGGATGCACACATTGCTCTGGAGCTGGCTGTCTGCTCGTGCTCACCCAGGGATGTCTGGGGTTGGGATCCTGCACCTGGCCTTGTCTTGGCCACAGGAACCAGGAGCTGGAGTTACACCAGAGTCAGGCCTCAGTGTGACCCTTCCTGACTAATTCTGCTCCATGTTGAAAGCTCCTTCTCCCCAGACACGTGATGTCCTGATCCTCTATGTGTTGTCAGTACGATGCCACCAGCCCTGATGTGCCACTGGAATTAGGACTGCCCTTGGCTGTGTTTGCTGTGGTTGTGAACTTCTCAGCCTTACTGCAGGCAAAACTTATTCCTCATTAAGAAATGATTAAAACCCCACTTTTGTTGAAGTGGAGGTTTGTCGGAGTGAGCTCTTTGGGTTCTTGTTCTGATCACCAGCTCTCCCTGTCTTTTCCTTTCAGCAACACGTGCACGACGGGCGCAAGGAGAGCCTGGATGGGTTTGTGAAGACTTTTGAGAAGCTGCCCACGACTGATGGCTATCCTGGGATCTACGCCTTAGACTGTGAAATGGTGGGTCCCAAGCCAAAATAAAGCTTTTTGGGACTGGCTGAGGTGTGACACAAGTGGCTGAAGGGAAGCTGTTTCCTGACCTCATTCTCTCTGTTCTGAATATTGGTGCTGGAGGTGTAAATGAGCTCTTATTGATTGGTGTGTTTGGCTTGAGGGCTGTGCAGCCCTGGCAGGCTCTGACTGGCCCATGCTGTGCCTGGCCTTGCTGCACCAGATGTGCTGCATTTTGGGAGCTGCAGCATGGGGTGAGGGGCTCCACAGATCCACACTGTTTTGGCTGCACCTCTTATCACATCTGTCCTGTCCTTGCAGTGCTACACTAAGCAAGGACTGGAGCTGACAAGGGTAACTGTGATCAACTCGGAGCTGAAAGTGGTGTACGACACCTTTGTCAAGCCAGACTCCAAGGTGGTGGATTACAACACCAGGTGAGGGCTGTAACACCAGGTGAGGATGGTCTTCCTTGGGACAGAGCTTTGTGCTCTCTCAGGAACTTGGTGTGGCTTGCAGCACTTTTTGAAACTCCACTGCCCACCACTCCCTAAGGGCTTTGGGCCTTGAGGTGTTTCTTCAAATGAAGGACCCCCACCTGTGTCCTGTTGCTCTGCAGATTCTCAGGTGTGACAGAGGAGGACCTGGAAAACACGAGCATCACCCTGCGGGATGTCCAAGCCGTCCTACTGAACATGTTCAGTGCAGACACCATTCTGATAGGGCACAGCTTGGAAAGCGACTTATTTGCACTAAAGGTAACCTGGGCTCTTGCCTTCACATCTCCCTGTGGTGCTTTCCCCCCCTGGGAGGTGTTGGATGTCTCCTGCAAATTTAGGAACTGTTTCTTTCCAAGGACCAGCAGTTCACAATAGTGGGGTGGCCTCACCTTAGGTTCTGTGTGCTGTTTTGGGCACCACAATATAAAGAAGCCATTAGAGAGTGTCCAGAAGAGCTGTGAGGATGGGGAAGGGTCTGGAGGAGCCTCATGAGGGGCAGCTGAGGGTACTTGGTTTGTTCAGCCTAGAGGAGACTGAGGGGAGACTCATCATGGTCTTCAGCATCCTCCTGGGGGAAGAAGAGGGACAGGGGCTGATCTTTTCACTCTCATAACCAGGAACAGGACCCCAGGGAGGGCTGGAGCTGTGCCAGGCCTTGGCATGGAGCTCAGGGAAAGGTTCTTCCCCCCGAGGGTGCTGGCACTGCCCAGGCTCCCCAGGGAATGGTCCCGGCCCCGAGGCTGCCAGAGCTGCAGGAGCGTTTGGACAGCGCTCTCAGGGCTGCTCAGGGTGGGGCTGTTGGGGGGTCTGGGCAGAGACAGGGGCTGGGCTGATGATCCCTGAGGGTCTCTTCCCACTGAGGGCATTCCAGGATTCTATGGTTTGTCCAGTCTTTGAGCCTGTGTGAAGCTGGTTGTGGTGGAAGTGCAGGGGAGTGGGGTCATGTGTGTCACTCGTGGTGTCACCTGAGCTCTTAGTGGCTGCTGCTGCCCTGGACAGAGCTCTGAACAGCCTGGTCTAGTAGAAGGTGGAACAAGATGGTCTCTAAGGTCTCTTCCAACCCAAACCATTCCATGATTCTATGACTGATCCCAAATCATTTGCCTCTCACCACTGCCTGTTCTGTTCTCTGTTCTGTGCCAGCTTTTCTAGGAACTGTGGTGTTGCTTTGATGAAGTTATGCTGACCTTTTACCTGTCCTGTTTCCTGCCTGGCCTGGTGTGCCCATCCCTCTGCCAGCTCTGCTGTCCTGCCAGGGTGTGTGTCCTGCCCTGAGGCCCCAGGGGTTTGTCCTGGGTCACCAGGAGAGCGTGTGGCAGGCAGGAGCCAAGTCTTTGTGCTCACATGCCAGAACTTCCCTCAGCCATTCTTTGTCCCACAGCTCTCCTGCTGAAGCCTGTGTGGCTGCCAGCTCCCAGGGCTGGGTTGGAAGCAGGAGCTTTTAATGCCTGTAAAACACTTTACCTCTCCGTGGCACCCTTTATCCCAGCCTTGGAGAGGCTTCATCATAATCAGAAAGACATTATTTCCAGTTGGATCAGCTCGAGATGACTGCCTTGGCCTCTTAGAGGCTTGATTTTCTCTTAGCACCACAGCTGCTGCCAAGAGGAGCCCAGAGCAATCCAGCAGAGCCGTGGGGTGTCACAGCAGAATGGCCGAGGGCTGTGCCACTAAAGCCATATCTCACTAATGGCTGTGGCAACTTCCAAGTGCTGATGACATTTCAAGTTTTATTTAAAGCTTTATTATCCTGTTTCCTCACTCTTCCTGATCTACATAAGTAATTACCACTGTGTCTGGGAGGGTGCCAGGGCTGAGTGCAGTCCAGGGGAGATTATCCATAACGTTGGCAGTTTTATATTCCGAGGAGTGGAGCAGGTTGTTCCTGTTAAAGTGCAGCTGTTCTGGGGCAGTTGTGGAGCTGTTACTGATGGAGTTATGGGTTGTCCTGCAACATGGGCTGGTGCCTGGGGGCAGAGAGGAGAGGGGATTATCAGGGTTCTGTTGGAGTCATGTGTATTGGGACAGGATACAGGTTTATCTCTGAGGCCCTGCCCTTCACTCCTGTGCTTGGGATATGGGATTGCCTCCATCCACATTCCTTCAGCTCCCACTGAATGCAATTCATGACAGCAAAGCATTCATCTTGTCTTAGCCTGAGAGGAGGAAATCAGTGTTAAAAAGAGCCAGCCTGCCCTATGATGATGGGCTTTATCAGGAGGGGCCTTTTGGCTGTCCCCAGCCCCTGGTGCAGGGCCTGTTCAGCATCCTCAGTTCCTCCAGCATGGTGACAATTCATAGCTGAGCTGTTGGATTAGAGGGCTGAAGCCCCTCTGCTCTGGAGCCAGGCTGGGAGAGCTGGGGGTGCTGCCCTGAAGAGGAGAAGCTCCAGGGAGAGCTCAGAGCCCCTGGCAGGGCCTGAAGGGGCTCCAGGAGAGCTGGAGAGGGACTGGGGACAAGGATGGAGGGACAGGACCCAGGGAATGGCTCCCAGTGCCAGAGGGCAGGGCTGGATGGGAGATTGGGCAGGAATTGTTCCCTGGCAGGGTGGGCAGGCCCTGGCACAGGGTGCCCAGAGCAGCTGTGGCTGCCCCTGGATCCCTGGCAGTGCCCAAGGCCAGGCTGGACAGGGCTGGGAGCAGCCTGGAACAGTGGGAGGTGCCATGGCAGGGGATGGAGTAGAAGCCCTTTAAAAAGTCCCAACTTGAAACACTCACTGATATGATTCAGTGATAGAATTTCCTTGTCCCATTCTACCCCTGCTGAGCTGGTGCTGGTTAAAAACTTCCTGTTGAGTCACTGCTGGGAGCTGGGAGGATTTGGGGTTGGTCTGCACCCTAAAGGCCAGGCCTGCCCTGCAGCAGCAGAGGGATGTACATCCTGCCCACTCCTGTCCCCATCTTAGAATCCCACGATGGTTTGGTTGGAAGGCACCATCAAGATTACCCAGTTCCAATCCTCTGCCACGGGCAGGGATGCCACTCACTGGACTGGGAAGCAGTTTGAAAGGTTGCTACAACTCACAAGGGGCTGTTGTGCAGTCAGCTGGTTCTTCAGTTTAGTTTTTAACTGGGAGAAACTCCAGAGCTATTCCTACTTCTCTGGGCTGGGGGCTTAAGGAGTTACACGAACAGGATCAGCTCCAAATCTCTGCTGGGATTCAGGAAATCTGAATGTGAGGTTGCAGGGCTGTGGGGGCAGGCCTGTGGCTGGCACAGCAGTGGGAATGCCATGTGCCCACACCCTGCCAGGGAATCATCGTGGATGCAGCCAGAGCCTCCTGCCAGACTGGTTGGGTGGGAAGCTGCCATGGGCGCTGCACGCAGCCCAGGGGTGACCAGGAGGTTCTGCAGCGTGGCTAATCCCGAGGAGTGCCTGTCCCTGTGGGGCTGGGGAAATGACCCTGTTGCTCTGCCCCTCCCCAGCTGATCCATGGCACCGTGGTGGACACAGCCATCGTGTTCCCCCACCGCCTGGGGCTGCCCTACAAGCGGGCCCTGCGCACGCTGATGGCCGACTACCTCAAACGCATCATCCAGGACAACGGTGAGACCCTGAGGGAGCCACTTCCTCCTGCCTGTGCTCTCCCCAGCCCTGCCTTCCTCTGCTCTCCCCAGTCCTCTTGCTCCTGGTGTTCTCTGCCCTGCGTGTGTGTGGTAGATGGGAATGTGCTGGCGTAAGAAGCCTCAGCCGCAGCTTCAGTGTGAGCCCTGTTCTGAGGGCAGAGCTCTCCCTGCTTCCCTCCCTGTGCTGAGTGGGACAAAGGACGTGGTGTGGGAGGGCTGAGGGTGGCTCTGCCAAGGCCAGGTCCTGCCCTCCCTTCTGTCTCTGGCCAGCTGAGAAGGGCTTTGCTGTTGGAAGTGGGGCCTGTCCCCTCCTTTCTTCCCTGAGCACATTGTAAACACTGCTGGGGGAGCTCCCATAGATGATGGTGTCAGGCTCAAGCCCAGAAAAAAGTGTGGGTTTAGTGGAAAAATATACACGTTTAACATTGGGAGTGTTCAGCCTGGAGAAGAGAAGGCTTTGGAGACTCCTTAAAGCTCCTCGCAGGGCCTGAAGGGGCTCCAGGAGAGCTGGAGAGGGACTGGGGACAAGGCCTGGAGGGACAGGACCCAGGGAATGGCTCCCAGTGCCAGAGGGCAGGGCTGGATGGGAGATTGGGCAGGAATTGTTCCTGGCAGGGTGGGCAGGCCCTGGCACAGGGTGCCCAGAGCAGCTGTGGCTGCCCCTGGATCCCTGGCAGTGCCCAAGGCCAGGCTGGACAGGGCTGGGAGCAGCCTGGGACAGTGAAGGTGTCCCTGCCATGGCAGGGGTGGAACTGGATGAGCTTGAACAAACCATAAACCACAAACCATTCTGTGATTCTGTGGAATTCTTTAAATCCCCACCTGTGGCTCGGGGTGCTCCCAGGTGTGGCTGTGGCTGCAGGGGCCAGGGAGCAGCTGGCTCTGCCTGGGCAACTCCCTGTGCTGAGCTGAGCTGAGCTGAGCTGAGCTGAGCTGAGCTGGCAGAGGGGTCACCGCCACGCCTGTGTTTGTGTCCCCAGTGGAAGGACACGACTCCAGTGAGGATGCCAGAGCCTGCATGGAGCTGATGGTGTGGAAGATCAGAGAGGATGCCAAGGTGAAGCGATGACCTGCGTTGTCTTTCTGCTGTTCTCCTGCACCTCTGTGAAGAAGCAGTGCAATAAATGCCCACAGCCACCCTGTCCCCGTGCCAGCAGCATGTTCCTGCTCCCCAGCCATCCCAGCAGGACTCCTGGGCACACACCTGCAGTCCCCCTGTCCAGGTGGTGGCTCTCGGATCCTCAGACTCCACCTGAGGGATTCTCTGTGCTCCAAGCACTGCCTTTTGGGCCTGGCAAGGTGGTTTTGAGTAGCACAACCAGAACTTCTTGGTTCCTAGGAGAAGCTTGTTAGAGGTAGGTTGGAGATGTGCAGAAGGATCTTTCTGGTTCAGTTAAAGGTAGATTGTTTACTACTTTTTTTTTTTTTCTCCCAAATATAACTTAAATTGCCTCTGTACTCCAAAGCAGTGTTTGGAGAGGGGGGAGATGGAAGAAGGTTGGGCAGGAAGCTGTGAGTGGATTGTGTAGCTGGTGTGGGAAGCAAGAGCTGAGGGTCAAGCACTTGGGAAGAGATCCTGGTGCAGTCCCACTGTGGAACTGCAGAAGAGGGAGGCCAGCTCTGAGCAGCTGGAGGGAGAGGAGTGAGGTGGGATCTGGGATTTGCCACCTGCTGTAGCCCAGGTGGTCTCCTTGCTGAGAGCTGGCTGGCACCTGGTTCTGTAGTCAGTGCAAAGGGGGAAACCACGAGTGTCCCACCTTGCCCAGACCTCAGGGAGCCACGAGGCAGGACAGGGACAAACAGCTCCCAGAGCCAGGGAGAGCCTGCATCCCATGACTGCAGGGTAGGACAAGGGTCCTTCCCTGCCCCTCAGCTTCCAGCAGAGCCCCAGTGAGCTTGTGTTCAGGGAACAAGGTTTTTGGGTGTGCAGGTAAGGCTGCACCTAAGGGTGGCCTCAGCAGCCTGTCCCTGCTGCAGGGATGTGGTCCAGGCAAAAGCAATAGGGGAAAATCCTTAATTTCACCTCATTGACATGTTGGGAGTTGTGCAGAAAGCAAAGGACTCAGCCGTGTGTCTGGCACCTGGACTAAAGCAGCTGCTGAGTGTGACTGTCACTGGGGTGGCTGGGTGGCACTGGGGGGTCCCTCTGCCCCACCCCTGCTGCTGTCTGGGACAGCAGAGCTGAGGGGAGCAATCCCCATGGACCCCGTGGAGCACCTTCACCCCAGGGCAGTGACCCCCCAGCCTCCCTCAGCACTGGGGTTGTGTCCCTTGGTGGCTGCTGTGTCCCTGTGTCCGTCTGGGGCACTGGGGCAGAGGAGCTGCTGGGCTTTGGCTCCTGTCAGAGCCAGGCCCTGCTCACTCCTTGTACCCCTGCTGGGCTCAGGGTCTGGGGACAGCTGTGTCCCCTGCGTGTCCTGCTGAGCTGTCCCAGCCTGTGGCAGGAGTGTTGGCCGGGCTGTGCTCCAGCACAGGGGTGTCCTGCTCCAGCCCCCCGCTGGCCCTGCTGAGCTCTCCCCATCCCGCTCTGCCCTCGGAGGCAGGGACGTGGCTTCTCTGCCAGGAGCCACCAGGAGAAGTGGGGCTGTAAAGACTCCTGCTACTGCTGAGCCCCTCTGTGTTTCCTCTGGCAGCAGTTCCTTACCCCAGTTTTGGGGATGCTGCTCCCCCAGTGCTCCACATCCAGCTCTGCTCCTTCCCTGCCGTGGGGCTCCCACCCCAAGCAGCCTTGGGCCACCTTGGGCTGTCCCCTGTCCCCCTGCCTGCAGGGAACACTGCTGGTCCTGCCAGGCTGTGGGAGAGACAGAGTTCAGCACTTCCCAGCTGGGGAGGGAAGGTTTGTTCCTGCTTCTGCCTCTTTCCCATGTTTATCCCCCATTTATCTTCACCCCTGGCTGCAGCGGTGGAATGTCCCTGGAGCAGCCACGGCAGGCTCCGATCTGGCTCTTGCCTCTCTGCTGTTCCTCAGCAGGCAGCCCCTGCTTCCAGCTCCTTCCCTGGGCCTGGCCACGCTGTGCTGCTGCCCTGCTCCGGGGCTGCTTGGCTCCATCCCCCTGCTGGGGCTGGGCAGGCAGGGCTTCCTCCCGGCCATGGCACCTCCCTCATTCCCTTCGTTCCCCACGCTCCAGCCTCAACTGAGGTTTTGGGGTGGGGGTGTGGGGGGGCTGCCCGTGTCAGGGGATGTCCCTGGGAGGGTGGAACCATATCCAGCCACACCATGGGTGTGCTCAGAGCCAGGCCTGGCCCCGGGCTGCCATCACCTCCCCAGGCAACAGAGGTTTGGTTGGGTTGTACAGAACGATTGTAACCTGTAACTTTTTGTAATTGTTTTTAATAAAAGAGTGTTGACTAGATGCACATTCCCGAGTCTGGGACTGCACTGCCTGTGGATGGGTTGTGGAGGGGAGGTGCTGGAGAGGCTTCCCAGGGGATCCTTCCACAAGCTGGAGAAGGTCCAACACGTCCAAGGTCCTGCACATGGGTCTGGGCAGCCCCAGCCCTGAGCACGGAGTGGGAGATGAACACAAGGAAATCAGCCCTGGGGAGGGTTGGGGTGCTGGTGGGTGAGAGGCTCAGCCTGCCCCGGCCATGGGCACTGACCCCAGAGCCCCCCTGGGCTGGGCTGAGCCCAGCGTGGGCAGCAGGGGAGGGGGGATTCTGCCCCTCTGCCCTGCTCAGGTGAGACCCCACCTGCAGAGCTGCCCCAGCCTGGGCAACAGCAGCAGGAGGACGTGGAGCTGCTGGAGCCAGGCCAGAGGAGCCACGGAGATGCTGC